GACTGAACATGCTGAGTTTGGAATTGATGGAGATTCTCTTACAAGATCTTAACATGGAATGGTTGTCATGAGCTACAAAACAAGACCCTGACCTGGGGCTGACTGAAATGGTAAAAAATAACATAATAATCGCAAATGTTTTCGTCATATTGATTGGTTTTGATTTTTGATTTGATTTTTCTTTGAAACTGGCTTGAAATATTGACTTCTGGAACATAACTTTAGATCGTCAACGCAAAAAAAATAGTTATATCTTTCTCCAAATTTTGCGTCAAACCACATGCTTGGATTGGCTGATCTTTGACAGTTAGACATGACTGAATCTTAATCTCGAATAAAATTGGATTAATTGCACAACGTTACAATGAATTAATGCCTTACAGAGTACATATTAAAACAGAGACCGTAGACCACAGATCACACAGCTCTTTTCAAACATCATGTTCAAAAAGACCCCAGCCTGCTCAGATGTGGAGACTGTGGTGATTTTTATGCAGTCAATTTTCCAACAAATGTTTGAAACGAAGGATTTTGTTCACTGGAAATTGTAAACAACTCCAGGAGTATTAACATTTGAGAGAAGACTGAAATCTGAAAGGTTAAACTAATACAAGAATGCATTTTGGTCTAAACTACAGGTACACGACCATAGTTTGTTTTTTGCAGAGAACGTTCTATTAAAATGTCATTGTGATTTGATAATTACACCAACTCAAATTACACATTTCAGGTTATAACTGGACTGATTTAACCCAGGGCAGTGTACTTTCTGGCTTCTCATACCAGTACCTTTGGATTGAAAATGACTTACGTTTGGGAGTTGAAACATCTTGATTTAAAATTTAAAAAACGAATTATACCTTTTACTTATTTCTCACTTCCAGAAAAGTTGCATAGATCACCTTTAGAGGAAATTATAGTGTGCCATAACCCCGACCCACACTTTCCTTTAAGGTATCTATGACTAAAACACACTTCAAGATCATTAAATTTAAGATTTTACAAAAATGTTTTTTTTTTAAATCTCCCAGTTTGGTCATTTTTCAAGTTTAAGATATAAAGATTGATAAGAAACCACCTTTATTTTGTTGAAATAATGTTTAAAGTCTCAGAAAAATGTGTGTTTTACATGTGAACTCTCTACTAACTGTAATTTTCAACAAATGTTCCCACCTTTCTTCTTTTTGATTGGTGAAAATCTGTAATTTCAATTTACAACAGGAATCATCCCATCAAATTGAGTCAAAATGAAAAAATAAAAAAAGTCTATCATACGCACTTTAATTTCATCACTGTATGTACTGCCAGCATCTAGAAACTCGACATTTTCTACAAAACGGCCTTGAATTCCCCTTTTAATCCACATCCTTTGACAGGATGAAGTATTACTCCAATAATTCCCTTAAACATCCACTACAGGTCTTTTCAGGTGAAGGACTGTCCGAAGTGAGAGAAAAAGAGAGAAAGGGAGGGAGGGAGAGAGAGAAAATATAGTGAGGGAGATGCAGAGGAGAAGAACAAAGAGAGAGGAAGAGGATAAGGAGATGTGAGAAAGTGTGTAATGAGAGATAGAGCAGGAGAAGAGAGGGAGGAGAGGAGAAGGTGAGGGTGAGAGGAAGAGCGAGGCTGAAAGAAAGACCAAGCAATGGAGAGAGAAAGAGTGAGGGGGAGAGAAATAGAGAGAGAGAATAGGGAGAGAGGAGGAGAGGATAGACAGTGTGTGAGGGACGATGAGGAGAGTGAAAGAGAGAGCTTATCTTCCTCATTAAAATGATCAAAACCTGGTCATCCTCTACTGGTCACTGCCCTCCCGCTTGTGCCTTTCCTACAAAAACTATATTTCATTTTTTTTACTTAACTGAAGATTAAGATCAAGCCAAGTTTTATTTTTGTTTATAGAACTGATATTTTTAGTATCAAAATGAACCACTAACCATTTCTTAAAAGCCATTGGCACAGATGATACTAACCGCACAGAGCAGTACTTCCAGTGTTATCGATTCCATAAAGTTGAACAGAATGTTTTGAGCTCACATATTGTTTTATTATTCAATAATCAAAAAGTGCACTGTTAGCATGGTAGTTGTTATTAAGTTTATCACGATGCCAAAATGGTGCTCTTGTGGTCTCTGAAAGTTTTTCCAATGCACTTACAAAGTCATTGTGGTGAATAATTAGGATGCTCGGAATGCATGAGAAAAGTTAGGAATAACTTTGGACCAAAGCAAACCATCAGTTAAAATGCTCTGCTTTTCACGGATTTAAGAGAAGAAAGAAATCAGTTATAACACCTTCAAGCTCAATTTTCATATTCTGCAAGCAAGTCATAACACAGAAACAACAACGCCAAACTCTGAAACAAAGAATGATGCAAGCAAAAATATAAACTTACTGACTAAATAAGTCTAAACAAGCTAAAACTTCATGATTAGTACTCACTTTATAATAATTACACTTTAATTAGACTTAATAAACAAGAACAAATAAATTCACAATAAACAAATAGTTTGGTAGAAATTATTCATAATTACTAAGGGGTTATAAATTAAGGTTACAGAATGAATTAAGTAGGGATCCCCTGGATCATTCTAACTAATCTATTTGTTCATTATAACCTTGTTCATGCTTTCTTAGAGCTAATTAAGGTGCTATTATTAAGTGTTTCTTTATTTTTATTATATCTCATAGTTTCACACTACTAATTTTGCATAACTTTTTTCTTTTTTTGCAGTGTCCCGTCGAGACTGGCTGCTCCTGAAGCCACACACACACTTGACCCCGTGACCTCTGTCTTCATTGGGTTCTTTGTAGAGCTAATTTCAAAACACTTCACTCTAATCCTCCCCCTCCCAGCTTCTCTCTCTCTCTCTTTACTTCTCCTTTTTCTCTCTCCTTTTTCTCTCTATCTCTCTTTTTTTTATTTTTTTGGCTATCTCCCTTCCTCTCTCTGCTTTCCTCCCTCTCTTCATCTCTTCTCTCTCTCCTCCCTGCATCTCTCTCTCTTTTTTTCTCTCTCTCTCCTCTCTCCCGCTTCACTCTCTTTCTTTATCCTTTTCTCACTCTTTTCATAAACGTTTACAAACTTCATTTTTTGTGAGTTCAGCCTGAGGACCTGGCAGCACTTAAAAGAGAGGTGAGATTTCCATGGTGTATCAATCCAATGCATTATGGGATGTGACAATACAAGGGACTAATCATACACTGGCAAATACAGAGAGTGAGGGCAAGTAACCGGCAAGGAGAAATAAAAATGTTTGAAAAAGGTTACATTTTTAAGCAAAAACATATGTCAGTTAACTGTAGAGTTGTGAATTATTCTAGTTTGATAATATTGATGAATATTGATAAATACTATTCAATTTCAGCTTCTTTTAAAATTTGAAACAAGTACCCAGTAGATTACAAAGTGCTCACATACCCCCAGTGGTCTCTGTACTGTATGTTTTTTGTTTGTTTGTTTGTTTGTTTGTTTGTTTTTAATGGCCTATTCAGCCAAAGATTGCAAATCAGCTTCTAAAATTGTGTAACCAGTAGGACATACACTCATTTACCCAACCAAAATCTCACTTTAAAGCAAACCTTTTATGCAAAATGGACTTTTTTGAGCTTTAAACCATTCTATAGTTGTTTCCCCTCACCATTTCCTCTCCTGAAGTTGTATTTGGAGTGATTTGTGTATGTCTGAGCAATGTTTAATTACTAATTTTCAAGATGCCATATTTACAGTCAACCCCCATTTTCACCACCTACTGCTCTTTACTTGCTTTGTTCTCTAATTTTATTTTCTTAATCAGTGATATCCTTACAGTTTGGCAGCATTGTGTAGTCATTTTTGAACAAATGAAAAAAAGAAAACTCCACTACTTGCTATCCTGATGTGCAGCTATCCATCGGAGGTGCCAACAGCGACACTACTCTACTGTTGTGATGATGTTTACGGCAACGTGAGCTCCCATTGTACACCACAGTTTTCTAACATATAAGTCAGCAGACTTGTTTCTTTTATTAGGTAGTTCTTGGTGAATATTGCAACTTAAAATGTGCAAGTTATAAAATAATGATCCACGGGTGTCAGAGATTATATCTGTAAAGCAGAAACAAGCACAATAGCAGACAGATTCAAAGTCTTCTCCGTAGACCTGATTTGTTCATGTGTTAGTGTTAACTCAATTATTCATTCAATTCAGCCTAAAGCCATTTGACTATAGTCATTTATTTTACTTACATATGCACATATTTAATGTTTATTTTTAGCTTGATTTCTGAAGGCTATATCTCTATACTCAACTGCACTTCTTCAACGCTTTCAGCACCTAGTTTGGAGAAGCAGCCATGAGCAATGTGGCTTCATGTTGTGTTATGGTTACCAAGAGACCATGGTGAAAACATAATTTATAACCAGCAGTTGTATGCCACTGTGTATTCATCCCAGACAATATTAACATAATATTTAGTCAATAGAGCAATCAAATAGACTTGGAATACCTGTTTAACCCAATTCAAATAAACACTATAAAACTTGGCACAGCTCCTTTCTTCCTCCCCACACATTTATCATGTTGTATGGAATAATGTCAAAATAGACTATAATTAGAGCATTCGTAGGCTTTCATTCTTAAAAATAACCTATGCTCTGTCAACAATAACAGCATATTTCAATGTTTAATTTAGCCAAAATTAGCATGATTGTCGTGCGTAATTTGGAAAGCAAACCTTTCAATTTACGCACAGCTCAGGCACAAATGTATTTCTCCAATAAATTAGTCAAAAAATAGGTATGACGTACACCGTTATCTAATATCTAAATAAAATTCCAGTAGATCCAACGCAAACCCCGTGAATCCTTGAAATAGGCTAGCCTAGTAAGCGAAACTCATTCAGCAACCCACGCATTCTTCACAGAGACTAAATACTAGAAGGTCAAATTGATCACACGGGAAAATGCACACTTAAAGCCGTTTAAAAAAAAATAAATATTTCATTATCATTAATTAACTTACCGGCTCGTCACTGGACTCCTGTTCGTAATAATCATAATAGTCGGAATGGCTCAAATCCGTGCTGGCGAAGTTTGCGTAAAGCAGATAAGCCAATAAAAAAGTTATTCCCAATAGGTGCATGTTTATAAAGTCATCTAAATGTTTACGATCCACGAACCACAAAAAGAATGGTGGATTTTAAAATACCCTCCCCGGCATGCGCGCTCCCCTCGCCGTGTGTCGCTGTCCAGACCGCTCGCTCATTTGCCCCCTCGCTGCGTGTGTGCGTCCGAATGAAAACGAGAGATGTCTGGCTGCTGTCCACAGGAGTTCGTCTCGCCAAATGTTCGCTGGTGGTGGTGGTTGTAGTGTCCTTAAAGTGAATGAACCGTGCGTAAATGATGAGGGGATATGAAGCAAGAGAAACCGGTGAAATTACGCAAACCGTGCGTAAAAGTGTCCACGGGCTGAAATGACAGGGTGGTTAGTGGGCTTCCTTCAGAAAACAACTGTCTGAATGTTTGAAAATGTGATGTAGAGTTTGGGAAAGTTTGTGCGTAATGGGCATTTTCTTCCGACCCCTGTTGTCAGCAAACAGAACTGCAGTCGAATTTGTGAAAAATAAAGCAACAGTGCTCACCTACACCTGTCCTGTTACAATTACTGACTATTGTATTGTATATAAATAACAGTGGGTTTATGTATTTGGGAGAATAATCACTTTACACTATCATTTGGTTTCTCAAATTCCACAAAATTGGTGACATGATCAAGTCCTTTACTGGTTAGAAATAACAAGTTGTGTCTTGGAGCAAGACCTAATCAACTCTGTACCTTTGTTAGTGTTAACCAAGTGTATACTTTTTAGGTTAAAGGTGCAATATGTAACTTTTCTGATGGAGGATCTACCACCTGCTAACTTCATAGAGATGTTATTACTTTGCCTGAATGTTCCACAATCTTGCATTTATTCACTTTCATGCATTACTTAATAATACATTTAAAAGCATGCATTCTTACCTGAATGTCTCCATGGAGATGGATAAGTTTAATGGAACATTCTGGCAAAAACAACATGTAGAGATGGTGGTAGACCTCCCACCAGAAAAGTTACATATTGCGTCTTTGAAATTAAGTTTTGGATTCCATCTCTGGAGAAAGTCTCAGAGAGATTTGTCCATCAGGCTTGTGTCTGGACTGCCATCTGAGCAAAAGAAAATGTTTGACAATCTTATATTTTTTCACCCTATTGTTGCCTGAATGATGTAGTGTTAAAAAGTTTCAAATATCTATCAAAATTTCAAATCTGATCTCAAAATCACACAACTTATGGCCCACGTTTGGGTTGTCACGACAACCCCATGTGCAGAAGCAGAAACACTGGGCTCGGTAGGGGGTGTCTTAACGGAGAATCAAGTATGTGTCAGGGGGCTGCAAAATGTTCCAATGCTTCAGCAAAAAGTGATTTTCCAAAGAAAATGGGCTTTTGTGAAACGTGTGTCTTTTATTCTTTTACATTTCTTCCTGCCTCCATGGAGATGTTATTGCTTTGTATCCACAGTATGGCACAAAACTTATCACCAATGATGCCACCAAGCCAAATTACAGTTCACATCTGTGAAGAGGCAATCCTGTTCTCAGTAAGAATGCATGTTTTTCTACAGTTTTTCTGTTTTGACCAATAAAAAACACCTGTAATTTAAAGCATGATTCAGTGGTAAAAAATTTAATAAAATGAAAAATTCAAACATTTCTCTTTTAAGTATTTGTCCAGAGATTTTGAGTTCTGCTAAAAGGCTACACATGTGCACTAACTATTAAATAAACCAAAATCACTTTTTTTCAGATATTGCATATATTCCGCTGTTTAAAGTGCACTGTGTAACTTCTCTTTTACCCTTACGCTTATCTATCTCAGTGAAGACAAACACTGGGCCTATTTACTTGTGACATCTGTGCAGAGGAGACCCTTAGACTCTTAGTAAGAATGCATGCTTTTCAGTGTATTCTTGAGCAATAAAAAACTCCTAAGTTGTATAAATTCACGCTGAAGTAGTTTAATGCCGTACAGTGGAACATTCAAGGCAATAAAACAGCATCTCCATTTAGACTGTTAACATCCATTTAGTTAACATCCATTTTGTTTGAGATTTCAGAATACCTTACAACATATTTTGGCACTGTTTGCTATTTTGTGTATTGTGTCACTACGGTAACTGCTGAACATTCCACCATAGACATCCATGCAGTAAAAGACTAACACAAACGTAGTCTTTACATTTGTCACTTCATGGTCTGGGAGGCTCTGGGAACTCTGCACCTGCGGACCTCTACAACAATGGAGAGACTGAGAAGAAAAGGAGAGAAAGAGGAAGAGAGAGAGAGACTAGGGGGCAGATAGAAGGTGGGAGAGGGGGTGGTGGGGGCAGAGAAGGACAGAGAGATAGGAAGATAGGACAAAAGACTGATAGGAGAGGGAGAGGAGTGGCTACAAGAGAAAGAATGAGAGAGGAGCAACTAAGAGGAGGGAGAAAGATGAGAGTGAGAGGTAGAGAGGAAAGTGGGAGAAAAGGGGGTTGAGAGAGAAGGGACAATAGGGAAAGGAGGGAGAGAGAGAGAGAGAGAGGCAACTGTGAGGAGAAAAGAGAGAGGGAAAAAAGAGTAAAGAGACGGTATGTCTAGAAAGAGGAAGGGAGTACATGAGAGAGGAGAGAGAGACTATGCAAGTGCATGTTTCTGTGATCAGTTATGTTCCTTATTTCAGATTTTATTCAACATTTTACATTTCAGTCCCACCTGATATGTCTATTTGAACAGAGTTGGATAGAGTAGCGAAACACATTCAACACTTCAAAATAATGACTATTCAGGTAGAAGTAGTGGTCCATGAAATTACCCAAGTAAGAGTAAAAAAGTATTTGCGGAAAGTTCTGCTCAAGTTAGATTAACGCAACATCTGATTTATCAGTTAAAGTTCATGGATGAGCAAAAACATTTTCCCTCTAAAACTTTTGTCCAGTTGACAGAATGGAATGGATTTCTTTTGCTATGAATCCTATGACTCAGGGATTACACAGACCTTGAAAGTTCTTGTAATTGTCAGGACAAAATGTTAAATACTGCACAAATGCCTGTATTTTTAAAGGATGAATCACAAAAATTGTCAACTAAATCATATCTGAAGTAGAGGTTCAAGAAACCAAATGTTCAAATCATTTCATATTGTCAGTATAAAGCTTTTGTCACTTAGATTTACTCACAGTAAGGAGAGCAACCAAAACTTTTATTTAAGTTTTACTAATTCAATCCGAATATTTTTCAAGTAGGAGTAAAAAGTATGCTGCTTCATAGTAGTCTTTCTTTACAAACATACTCAAGTAAATGTAACTGAGTAAAAGTAACTGAGTAAACATTCTAAACATTTCCTTTTAAGGTTGAGTCCATATGTGTGTCAGCTTATGTGCTCTCTGTTGTAAGCTGACACGGTTGCACAGATGTGGGGCACTGTGCTCCACTGGCTCTGGTCTAATGAATGAGGAGCTCAAACAAAGAGCTTATCTGAGGAGAGCAGCTTTCTCTCAGATCTGCCTCAGGTCTGCCTCAGGTCTGCCTCAGGTCTGCCTCAGGTCTGCCTCAGGTCTGCCTCAGGTCTGCCTCAGGTCTGCCTCAGGTCTGCCTCAGCTCGCCGTGTTTGCGGACGTTACTCATTGATCAGAGCAACTGTGTAGACTTAACCCGGACACTATCGATCCACAAGGGACTGGTCAATGAAGCTCTATTGCTCAATAAAGCAGACTATATAGGCTGTGCAAAATGTATGTAAAAAATTAAGAAGCATTTGAACAAAATCTGATCATTTCTATAAAGTTTTGGTAACATTTTACAATAATAATGTCACCTTACTTAGCCTTCACGAAGCCTAAATCAAATATTTTAAGACTGAACCAGGCTTTTACCCCTTAATTTAGTATTATTAATAGGAGTGCAATGATATCCAAGTCTCACGATACGATATCGTCACAGTATGAACCTCACTGTACGATATTTATTGCGATATCATGGGAAAGCTCATGATATGGTGGGGAGGCTCATGATTAGGGATGTAACAATATCCAAATCTTTCAGTACGATATTTTCACGATATACATCTCACGGTATGATATTTATTGCGATATTTTGTGGCCAACACTGTTAATATGCTACTTTTTCCTCTTAAAAAGCCTTGACAAGACTTAATCCAAAGAACTAAGACTTAAAAGTGCTCAGAACTGTTATTTCTTCTTGTAGTCTACGCTGAAAAGAAGCAAAGGATCATGGTCTATGTAGTTCCCTCTGTCTTTTTTTAGCTATTGCTGCACCATAACTCTTCATTTAATTTGTGATGGTCCACGATATTATTGTGAGAACATTGACGAAACGATATCATGATATTTCAGTTATTGTTACATCCCTAATTATTAATAAATCAGTGATAAATAAGTAAGTGTCGTCACGATACTAAAATTTCAAACTGGATGTCGATACTAAGGAACAGACTCAATACCAAAACCAATTCTGATACCTTGATCATAATAAAAAATACTCTTTAAACTTTATTTATTTATGTAACTGTGTATTTATGTATGTATTCATTTATTTATAGTACTTTTACCATGTAGTCATATATCTGTGTAATCCGTCAGTCGTCCAGGTAGGTTCTATAGTGGTCCAGTGGCGTATACTGGTCTAATTATCTTGAGTTCATTCTAAAGCTATTCAGGAAAGGTTCATTTCTGTTAAGTTCACTTCATACTTTCAGTTCATTTCATGCCAAAGTCACCAATTTAGGGTAAATATATTGTTATTTAATGGTACACTGCGAAAATTATCTAGTGGAGAGTCTGCTATGTACTTATCTTCATGAAGATGTTATTGCTTTGCAGGGAATGTTCCATGGTATGACATTAAACTTAGCTATCTAGTGTTTATTCATTACAGGTGTTTCTATTGCTCTAAAATACAAAAATTCCTTCTGGGAATAGGGGCGACTCTCCACAGATCTGAACTGTAATGTAGTGTAGTGTTATTACAGATAGGTTTAATCTATACTGTGGAACATTCTAAACAAACCAATAACATTTCCATGGACACAAGGCGATGAACAGTCCACTAGAAATTTTACGCAGTGCAACTTTAATTGCATTTTTATTCTGCTGCCTGATACAGTATTTTTTATTTATTTATTTAATATTTGCTTGGTTTAAAAAACAAAAATAACAATTCAGAAGTGTTGAAACGGGTAAAAAATGCACTTCTAGTGGTAAGAAAGTAATTATACAAGATACATATTGCTAAACAAGGCATGTCATTTATCAAGTATGTTTCATTCACACATTGTCTTTTGCTAAATTGTTTTTTGTCTGAATCCAAAACTGTTGTGACAGGAAAAGAGGCAAATCGTAAATGTTTGTGCATAGAGCCAAACCCAATACAAGCTAAAGCATATAAG